AAAAAACCAGGGTCGGCGCTTTTCGTAGATCTGGGTTGGCTTTGAGGTTCGGGGATTGGGAGTTGTTTGGGTTTGGGGTTTATTCCAGGGTTCCACATTTCTTGATTGATTTAAAGGTTCAAGGCAAACCCTTAAACCCAGATTTGTGTATATAGGGATTGAGTTGAAGGTTCAAGGGACACCCCCAAACCCAGATTTCTGTATATAGGGTTTCTGAAGCCTCCTCTATAACCCTATATATATATATATATATGAAGCAAACACATGTGGCAGGTTGCGGCGGCTGGAGCGGGGCCAGTGAAGAGGAACGAGGCGACACGTGTGTGCGGGCAGGGCTGTGGTTTGTTGGGGTTTGGGGGGTCTGGGGCTTTAGGGTTTCATATTTTCGGGTCAAAAAAGGGTTCAGGCTTTTTGGTGTGTTACACAGGGTTTGGCGAACTTGGTGTGTGATACGGGGTTTGGCGATCTGGGGATTCAGGGCTTCAGAGTTTCGGGTCAAAGGGTTTAAGCTTTGGTGTGTTATATCCGGGGTTTGGCCATGTGCGGGGATTTAGGGCTTCAGAGTTTCGGGTCAAAGGGTTTAGGCTTTGCTTATAGGGTTTCGCGGTCTGGGGATTTAGGGCTTCAGAGTTTCGGGTTTTTTAGGATTTTGCTCCGGGGTTTTGTTTGGCTCCAATCTTCAAAAGAAGCCTTTTCAAACATCCCTATATATACCCTACACCCTATATAACAGCTGAGAATTCTAAGCACTAAACTTTAACTCTACCCCTGTAGACTATATAGGCCCGAACCACAGTCCAAAAGGCCTCGCCCTCAATCCCTGTATATATATATATATAATACCCAAACACTGGTACTCTGAAGCCATAGGCGAAACATGAATTTCAAAGCCAGTCTGATATGGAAACACCTAGCCCCAGACCCCTTTTGTTCATGTGCATCCTTGCTCTGAATCAATATACCAATGATGGCTCAAGCATCCCCTGAAGCTTTGTACGTATGTGCTTGTATTCTACTTTCACCTATATATACATTCCCCACCCATGCATGAACCCGGTTGGACGATATACTTCTGTGTGCAAGCACATGCGATCCGAAGCACGGCTAATAATATAAGGATGGGGAAAACTCTAAGTGTGCATAAGCCTCATATAGCCTGATGGCTTCTCCGCCTCTTCGTGTTTTTCTGGCTGGCCTAAGATTCCGTGTGACACAAGGGGAAGTGCTTTCAGTGATCAATGCAATTGTGCCTCTGGAGTCTCTGGTGGGCTGGGAGCAGATAAGGATCGTTCGCAAAGGTCAATACAGAGTCGGAGCAACCTGCAGTGCTTTTATTTCTGTCAAGAGCGAGGACGTGCAGCTGCTTCTGGTCAGGAATTTGCACGATGCTGTCGTTCCACTACTGACTGACCACCGGTTGCGATGTGAGGTAGCTGTGCCTCGAATTATGGATGCCCGGCGGTTTATGGCGGGTTGGGCGAATGCAGAGCCTGCTGCAGAGGCAAGTGCCGAGGCGGAGATTCAGACCGATGGAGCAGGAGCTGCTGGAGGAGAGGCACATTGTGCCGAGTCGGA